TTTTATAGCATTCCCAAAATAAGTACCATTATTTCCCCATTTGGGAGATGCAAATATTATAATTTAGAGAGATTAAATAATTTGTTCAGAATCACTCAGCTCCTAAGACAAGGAGCCAGAATTTTTGACTCACTGACTCCAATTTTTACCACTAAAATTTACTTTATAATTTTCAATAAAAATATTCTCAAAACAAATCAATATAAGTAAGAGTGCCATTCTACTATTGAAACATACTTAGAAAATGAAAGTTTTGGACCACTTTAATATGCTTTGCTAAAAGTATTTATTGATAATAAGTGGATTGGTAAAAGGCAAAGTACTCTGATCTTCTAATTAAAATAATTCACTCGAAGAAATCTACTGGGTACTGAGTTTTTGAGCTATCAGGCCTTATGAGCTTAAAAGCAGTAAAATGACACTTCTTTAAATATTTTATAATTTGAGTTTTTAATATTTTAACTTTTCCCATAGTTATGCCAGTTTAATATGTTTTATTTTATTCATGAAAATCATGTAAGTACATGCTCCTAATATTAAGATTTGTAAATATGTAATTTCAAATTACAGCAGGAAGATGACTATCCTTTAATTGAAGATGTGCTTATATAGCTATATATAAATATAACTTAAATGTTTTCTCTGCTAAGAAGGGCTAGGCCATTATTTTGAGTAATATATTCAGTTAACAATTTTTATCCTACATTTTTCAGAGTACTTTCCTTATGGTATATTATCATAGTTTCAGGGCACAACAAATAAATAAATTGGATGAAATAGATTATCAGATAATATTTAATTAATACCGAGATTAGAACATTCTTGAGTGAGAAGCAAATGGTCGTGACTTCTCTTGATAACCCAGATTTCCAGTCTTCATCTTTTAAATATCAGGTGATGCTAGAATGATCAAGCGGTCTGTAGTAAAACAGAGATTTTTGCCTTCCCCGTGGAATGCAGAATGTTGTTAATTTCTGATATTCTCTTTATTGCTCTTGGTTCAAAAAGATTTAGCTATACAGATAACTAAGTTGTTCACCTTTAATTTGATAGACATTTATTAAACACTTAAATGTGCCAAAGAATGAACAGTCTAGTGGAAATGAATGATATATTCCTTCTTTCATTCACCAAATGTTCTGTGAGTTCCTGTTACACACCAGGCATAGTTCCAAGGTATTAAGAATCTAGTGCATGTCATAAACAGGACATAGAAAGATGCTTGTCTTCATGGAGTTTATATTCTACTGATAAATACATTTAAATAGATGATTTCAAAACAATAAGGAGGTTTGGGAATAGAAATATGTATAAGATACTAATAATGTGGGTGCCTGAGTGGCTCAGTCGGTTAAGTGTCTGCCTTCGGCTCAGGTCATGATCGCAGGGTCCTGGGATCGAGCCCCCACATAGGGCTCCCTGCTCGGCGGGGAGTCTCCTTCTCCCTCTGCCTCTCCCCCACTTGTGCTCACTTTCTGTCTGTCTCTCTCTCTCAAAAATAAACAAATTAGATAATTAAAATTTTAAAAAAGATACTAAATACATATATCCAAATCAAATAATCATGGAATTGTAACTGATACCACCAGGTCCATTAGGGCTTCAGGAGAGTCTCATAGTGAGTCAAGAGGAGCCAAGAAGGGAACACAACGGAGGGGAAGAGCCCCAAATGGACAGGTGTCTGGTAGCCATGAACTCAAACAAGCAGGAATATGATGCTCAACATACTTCATTATTTCATTTATAAAAGTTAGATAAAGGGTCAGAAAACCCGGGACCTTTTCATATCTCAAGATTATCAACATTTCACCACCACATGAATCTCTTCCACTAATATTATATGTTAAGATTCCTCTAGATTCTGGAATTCCTGGGGAAAATTCCACATCTCTCAGCAGTAACACGGTAATACTGTCACCTTTTTCAGCAGGATCAACATCTTCCTTTTGGAGAAGTTCTTGACAATCTTGAGGTCTTTGTTTTGTGTCTCAAAATTATTGGTTGATATTGTCTTTAGTCATTTAGGCAATTAAATAATATAGCCCAGGGGTGCCTGGGTGGCTTACTCAGTTAAGCATCTGACTCTTGATTTTGGCTCAGGTCATGATCTCGGGGACATGGGATTGAGCCCCGCGTCGGGCTCTACCCTCAGCAGGGGTCTGTTTGGGATTCTCTCCTCTCCCTCTGCCCCTTCTCTCTCTCTATTTCTCTCTCTCTCTCTCCAATAAATAAATCTTAAAAAGAATTACAAAATAATAAAAATATAGCCCAAACTAGAAGTAATGAAAAATTCACTAGATCAGTTTTGAAGTAGTATTTAGAACTTGGTCAAATCCTTTTTACATTTTCATATTTATTACCACCAGCATATAATTATAATTTTGAAATAAACTTAGCTTTTTGGGGATTATGAATTGCTCACTGGCCAAAGAAAATATTCAGGTTTGTACGTAGTTATTTACCAAAACCACCATCTTTAAAAAACAAGTAAGGACTATTTTTCTTTTCTTTTCTTTTCTTTCTTTTACTAAGGACTATTTTTCATTATACTTTTGAAAACTTTAAACACTGGGAAAATTTTAACAGACATTAATATTAATAGGTGATGAGAACCAACAATTCATATTCTGTTCTTAAATCCTGTACACTCATATTCAATCTGGTATGATAAAATTCCATAAAATAATTATTGCCCTTTTCCATTCAGCTGACTCAAGAAGCTCATTTATTGGCCTGAGGTCACATGTGTATATAGCAAATAGCCAAGCCTAGTGATCCCAGAAGTGTAATATGCAACATTTGTGTTTTTGTTAAATCATTTATGTAACTCAAATTTATAAGATTTTAACCCCCTATCATCTGTTGACCATCCCCAACTCTACAGTGAAACTACAGGGATTCCAGCAATTTGCATCTTGCTAATTTCAATGGCTTCTTTTTAGTCCTCTTTGTTTTTCATCTTAGACATTGGTAGCGACTGCTCCTTCTTGTACATTCTCTTTGCTCTTTCTTCATTCCTTTGCTGACATCTTTTTCTTACGTTCTTTAATATTGACATATAGCGGGTTCTCTCCCTACCCCTATTAAGTTAATTGATTCCAATCCTACAGCTTCAAACGTCAGCCATGATTTTTCTAATGAACTACAGATTTAATATTTCCATGCAACTAGTGAATTCCTCCCCTGTGTAGGCTTGTAGAAACTTAAAACACATATTCCAAAACATGCCTTTTCATTTCCCACATCCTCTTGCAACTGCATTCTGTAGTTGATGTATACATGTCTCTAATACTGAACTGTAAGTTTTTCCAGAAACTTTGGCATTTCACTTACCTTTGAACTCCCAAAACTTAGCTGACTGCCTGGCACAAAGTAGATCCTCAATAAATATTTGATAACTGAATGACCTAATGACTGAATGTTGTTTAAAAATATGCATTTGATATTAGTGCTTAAGAAATGCAGTAATGTAATAGCAAGCAGAGCTTAGGGTTTAGGGGTTTTAAATAAAAACCTCCTTTTAGTTAATTATGCCCAACATCAAATACCCCCTATATTTTCCCTGAGCTGTCTTTGATGTACCTTTGACTTTATACAAGGGCAGTGCTAGAGGATTCTCTTATTTGACTTATGTTTCCAAGGGATGCCAGAAGGAAGGCAGACTCTGGGATATAGTTAGAAATTTGTGTCTGGAGCTTTTAGTAATAAATCAAAGTGATGCAATTCTCAGTGGGTGGTGATATTGGTGTCAGGTGTATAGCTAGTGATTTCAGACAAGTAAGCAAGTCTGCCTACAAGCTTTAATAGATTTGAGGTCCAGCAGTTTGTTAAAGATTAGAGTAACTGGCAAAGACAAATTGTTAACCAAACTTTTGGCTCATTTTCCCTTTGAATTATTAAGCTAAACACACTTCCAATCCATACAGCTGATGCAAGAGGGCTCTTTAAGACCAAGTCTTACATCAACCTAGTTATCCTAGACTGCCCTCCTTCATTTCAGTGACATTAGTAAACATCTGTATTCCTGAAGCTAGATTTTTTCTCCTCTGTGGCACACATCTTACAAGGGCTAATGGGTTGGCAACAATTTAAAATTTCTTGAGACTAGTTAACTTTGGGCAAGTGGAAAGATTGAAGATTGGTGAGGTTGTTTCAGCAAGCAAGCTGTAGTTTCTTGCCAAGCAGCAGTGTTAAGAACAAAAACTCTCCTTCATAATGTTGTAATGTTTCTGGTGGCTGTCCATGCCAAATTTACAAATCACAGTTGCAGTCCTTAAACCCATAAGATCATTAATTCTTGGTATTGTTATCCAATGGATAATTATCTCTCAGTGCTCCCAGCCATTCCCCCATGATTCTGATAATAATAGTCCCTGCAGTTTTCCCAAATTTCAGCATCTCCTGGCATGGACAGAAGGTACTCAGTGAAACCTAGAATGAATGAATGAATGAATGAATGAATGAATGAATAGCAAGCTCTGGTTTGCCTTTGTCTATGCTAAAATTGGAGCAAACAAGCAGAGGAAGACTTCCTTTCCCCTTCTAAGTGAACCACTCATGTTCTCCTTAGCTACCTACCTTCTTTGGAAGTCTAGGGAAGACTGTCAGAACTTGCTGTGGCTTCTGTGCTTGCTCTCACTGTATTCTGTACTCAAAACTCATGAACATTTCCTTTAATGCTTAAAGCAACCCATTGAGATGGCTACCATTGCTCTAACTCCACACACTAACAAATCTAGATTACTAACTTAGTTTGATGGACCTCAGATTCTCTGTCCAAGATTACTTGCATTATGATAAAAGACTTGTCTAATTCCTATTCCTGAACATCTTTCATCTGGGAATAGTCAAGTGTGCAAAATTGTACCTGTGTTGTTTTTTTTTTTCCTAAAGACCTGTGCTCTTTTACCATTTTGTTATGACTTTAGCATCACTCTTTAGCTCTGATATCATCTCCTCGTTATAGAAATGGATTAAAGATGTCGTTCCCCTTGAATAAGAACTTTGCGGGAAAGGATCTCAGAGAAAGTGTCCTGGGTAGAAAATAAATCACAAATTGAAGGCAAAGAGAAAATAGAAGGTAGACTTAGAAGAGGAACAATATATTGGTAGGAAGATGAATGAGAGGAGAGAGCCAGATACAAGGGATATAATTCTGAGGGCTTAGAATATAGAAATGAGTAGATTTAGATAAACCAAGTGGATGTTAAAATCACATTATAGGAAGGATGTTTAGTTAGGTGGAATCATAATCGAAATAAGAAAATAAAATAAGTAATAAAAATAAAATAAATAAGAATTATATAATTTTTAAGGTATTTGGGGATATTAGAGACTATTTGGAATTGATAACTCACAAACATCTTTTGAATTACCCTTCATTCAACCTCAGGAACTAGAAATAAGAAATCATTTATGAAGCATTGACTTTAAAAGAAGGGTTTGTAAAAGAAAAAGTGAGTAGAAGGGTAGCTGTGGTAGTCAACTTTACAAACCTGAAGAAGTTAGAACTGAGTATTTTAGAATGACAATCCTAATTTTGATGCCACCAAAACAGTTTGCAGGTTTAAGAAATAGATCAAGAAAAGCCTGTGCATGTGGGAAAGGTTGTTATTTTGATTCCTTTAGATAAACTGACTATATATGAGGGAGCAATGATCTCATGTGGTTTACCCATAAGAAATTTCAGGTAATGAAAACAGTTGAGCAGGATTAATTATATAGGAAACCAAATTTGGTCCTGGAAAAAAGTGCAGAAGTTAGTGCTTATTGGTTAATATATTAGGTATAGTTCAGTGGATATTTATTAAATAAATTTTGGCTCTGTGCTAAACTGGATTACTTCAGTCTGGCAATTTTGTTATCGGCATACTCTATTACATTCTTCAAAATGTATTTAATTGGTTTTCTTGAAACAATCTCTGGCTTCTCATCTAAACAGTCAAACATAATTTTTGAAAAATGTCACATTCCAGAGAATAAACATAGAAACTGCCAACCCTGAACTCCTCTATTCAAATGGCAGTTTTACAAGGTTGAAAGCACAGAAATAGACCAAGAGACAATTTTCCTCAAGGTCTTGGGAAGTGGCCAGATGAGTGTTTACAGTCCTCGTATTTGCTATGCGAGCAAATGTTCTATTTTGCTTGTGTACATTCTTAGCTGTTTCCCCTTACGCCTTTTTTCCAAGTTAGATTCTTCACTCTTCTACCCGAGCTGAGGTACCCAGTACTTGCTTTTCTATTGCTGATTCCAAGCATGATAAGGTTAGCAGACACAAGGCTATTTATGGTGTGGTATTATCTTAATTTAACTTACTGCTTTAACTAACTGCCACTATTTATGTCTCCAATTGTGCTGAAATAGCTAAATTTACTTGATAAACACATTGGGGCAGGGGTGAGAAATTGCATGTCTCTGAGCATCACTTTGGTATTGATCCATTAGTTACTCTGGTCACCCAGAAAAAATGAAGGGGACACTGGCAAGGCCTCTCTAGTGACTGAGGTGTCACTAGAAGTAAACACCACCCCTCTCCATTAATGCAGTCATCCCCAGGACTGTCGTCCACTTCCAGATGGTTAAAAAAGAAACAGGAGGGGTGCCTGGGTTGCTCAGTCGTTAAGCGTCTGCGTTCGGCTCGGGTCATGATCCTAGGGTCCTGGGATCGAGGCCCGCATTGGCTCCCTGCTCCGTGGGGTGCCTGCTTCTCCCTCTCCCACTCCCCCTCCTTGTGTTCCCTCTCTCTCTCTGTCAAATAAATAAAATCTTTAAAAACAAAAAAAAAGAAACAGGAATCTCTTTGTAGAAAGATTTCAGGGGTTTTGTTAATAGAAAAACTGACCAACACAGAACAGTATCCTCTTTTGGATTTCACTCCATAACCATTAAATCAATGTGGACTGGTATTTTTCAGGGGTAAAGGAATACACAGATATGAAGAGTTCTTATGCCTACCATGATAATTCACATTTTCTTTCTGTTTCTGTGAGTACACCAGTAACTCACAAACATAAACTCTAATCTGTAGAAAAATCTGATGAACGATAGTTTATATGAGCAGAAATCCTACAACTGTGGGGTGGAGCTACCTTAGAAAGTTAGATCAGCGATAGTGGGAAGAGGGGCATGCTGAACAGTCAACTCAGATAGCTTTGCTGGAAGTTGCATGGGATGAACTATACAGCTGGGATTATCGCTGCTTGTTCCAGTGAGGATAAAGAACTACAGAAATATTGCTGATGACAGAAATATAATGAATATATTTATGTTATAAAATATGTGTATTTTATATATATTAATATGTCACCCTGATACTGTCCTCACTGGTTGCCAAGAGGCAGTCTAATTAGCTCTCAGAAATATGGCCATAAGTAGCCTCAGTGGAACATAATTTTATCAAAGACAGTACAGTTTCCACATTGTTAACCATTTATGGAATGAATATGTGCAACCAGAGGAAAATGGCTGCAAATGAATCTGCCTGTAATCTAAACCTTTCGTGGGTCAGGAGATTTTTAAAGTGTGTATCCCAAGAGGTGAGATTACACGTGAAGATTATTTCGACAGTATTTTCTTCTTGGAGGGGAAGAAACAGAAATCTCACCCACTACAGGCCTGTGCTAATGTGTTAACATACTGAACCAAAAGGCTATGAGGGAGAATATAATGGAAATTACCTTTTTGGTTTATTTCCAGGTGCATAAAAGTGGCACTGTTTTCTATCTCCTGTATGAAAGTAACACTACTGGACTAATGATAGCCGGGCAGGTGCATACTACTGTATTTTTAATTGCACTGACTGTTTCTATTTATGCATTAAACTTGCCCACACATCCCCCAACCCCCCCCCCACACACACACACGTGCACACACACAAAGTCCTCTTTGGGATCAAAGGTATGCATTTCCATGACAGCTGGCTGAAGTTAAGATGGTGACAATGGCCATGGAATGCATCCACACAGGCTAGTTGGCCATGGGGGGATTGACCCTGGGACACTGGCATCACTAACATCAGATCCTAACTACTTAAGTTCACAGCCCATAGTCCCATTCTAACATTGGGCACTCTCACCATGCCTCTCAATGAGATGGTCTCCTGTTGCATTCTTGAACATTATACGATGATGCTGATATCTGTTCTGTTCATGGAATAGATACACATATAGATAGGTGACCAATACTTTTTATACAAAATCTACTGTTACATTAAGGCATTTAAATAATTTAAGTGAACGAAAAGTACAAAGCATCAATTTCTTATACGTTTTAATTAATTTTCAGGTCCCGTGGATGTCAGTATTCTAGCTAAATGTAATCCGTGCTTATCAAACCCGTGTAAAAATGATGGCACCTGTAACAATGATCCAGTTGACTTTTATCGCTGTACCTGTCCCTATGGTTTCAAGGTCAGTATAACCTTGAGGGAGCCCTGATCTGAAAACATAGCTTTCTTTGGTGGGTCCTCATTATTCTGTTGTGTTTTCTCTCTGTACTGAGATCTCCTCTATTTACACTTGACTTGACTTGGCCGTTCCTTCTCTAGGGGCAGGACTGTGATGTCCCGATTCATGCATGCATCAGTAACCCATGTCAACATGGAGGAACTTGCCACTTAAAGGAAGGAGAAAAAGATGGATTCTGGTAGGTCATTAGTCTATAATATTCTGTCTGAAGCATTAGGGCAAGAATAACTAAGTATACATTCGTGTTCCCTTTCAAATCAAAAGGTGTTATTCTTAAAAGCCAGAAATTTATTCATAAGGACAATATGTATTAGTCCTTCTCAGAGATACTGTAATATGAAAAACAAGACATTACAGTATTCTCAGCTCAGGATGCTATAAAATCAAGAAGTTTTTAAAACATACGTGCGTGCATTATGATTCATACACTCAGATTAGGTCAAGACAAAGTAGTAGCTCTGTTATGCTAATTAATAGCCAATAGTCTCCTCTTCAAGTCATATATTCATCTGTTGCTTTGTGTATTGCTTTAACAGACAGTTTGTAATGATAAGATGTAGGTCCCACTGAAACAGAAAATTCATGATTTATTCCCAGGCCACAAAATGAGTAGACAAACATGCTGTGAACATTTTTAATCTGGAGTTATTTAATCATATGGTACAGTTACTTCAGATGTACTTCATGAATTATGAAACAGAGTTCTTATAACGACGGTGATAATTTCACATAAGAATGTTAATCTACTACAAAGCTTGTTGGAAATACCACTTTTTATAATAAGTATTCGTTTCTGCATTGTTATGAAATGGTCTCTTTTTCAGTAAGACTCCTCAAAGATTATTCTGATACCTATCAAGGTCAAGTGTACAATGTGTTATTGTCATGGAAAAATTGTATCTGTTGAGACTTAACGAGAACATTTACATTTTATAATGACAAGGAAGATGTAATTTTATTTTCATATTTCTTTTTTGTTTTGAGACATGGAAGACAGTATAGTTAGGGTAGGAGGTATTGTAGTTTTTAAAGTCAGAACCAGTTCCTCTTTATTTATGAGCAGAGAAGCATGAATCATTTTATTAGAGCACAAGTTGAGATTAAGATACCTAGAGCTGTAAGCTTTGCTTGTGTTTTAGACCTGCCAATACCTTGGATTTATTGACTTACAAGACCACGGAGCCATTTGCCCTCTTGCAGCTAGCATAAATTTTCTTTTTCAAATTGTTTCTGATTTAGGGGATACTACCTTAAATTCGTGCTTACTACATGTTATTTAAAAGCATTTTTTTTAAAGATTTTATTTATTTATTTGAGAGAGAGAGAGTGAGAGAGCATAAGAGGGGGGAGCAGGAGAGGGAGAAGCAGACTCCCCGCTGAGCAGGGAGCCCAATGCGGGACTCGATCCTGGGACTCCAGGACCATGACCCGAGCCGAAGGCAGTCGCTCAACCAACTGAGCCACCCAGGCGCCCCCGTCATTTAAAAACATTTTAAAGTTCAGTTTCTTACAGTTAAAACCTCTGTAGTTGATGAGTGTGTTTAGCTTTTTTCAATTTTTGGACCATATGGCTTTAAAATGCAACATGAACATGGGGTGTTTTTTTTTTTTTGCCTTTTCTCCCCCTGGTGTTCAGGTGTATTTGTGCTGATGGATTTGAAGGAGAAAATTGTGAAGTCAATGTTGACGACTGTGAAGATAATGACTGTGAAAATAACTCTACATGTGTGGATGGAATTAATAACTACACGTGCCTTTGTCCACCTGAGTACACAGGTAGGAAGAGTAGGAAATTCTGTGCCATCAATAGTCTATCTGTTCAAAAGCATCACTGGCAATGTGTTGTATATGTGTAGTAAGCCACTGTATTATTCAATAACTGGTAGGTGTTTTGAAAATTAGATGTAATGTGAATAACAGAGTTAAGAGGGTTTCAGCCAACCAAATGAAAGACCAAGCAGGCATCTACATAAAGTCATGCTATCCAGCTGAAAAACAAGTTATCATTCTGAAGCTTTTCATCGCAGGGTTGCATAACATTTTTCATGCAAAGAATTTGTCCTGTGCAAACCAACCCACCAATACACAGGTGAAAAGAGGGGCATATTTTTCACATAGTGGAAACATAACTAAGCATTTGAGATTACTTGTGTCCATATGTGTTTCTTCACTAGTGAGTGTTTTCCTCTAATAACTCATGTCCTTCAAAATAAAATGTAATCGGGAGGATACTAAGCACTTTGGATAATCATATAATTATCACCTTTTTTTCTGACATTTTGTATCTGGGGGTAACAAATTTCCTAAGTCTTTCTGAGCTGGTAAACTTCCCTGCACAAACCAATTTGCTGTAAAGGCCATGTCAAGTTTAGACCTACCTGTTATGTCAGAATATCTGTTTTGATTGATTTTGGGGGCTATGAATAAGAAGCAGAATAGTTACAATCTTGTTTCTGTAATAAACCACTTCATCTTACAGTTGATAGAGAAAAGGAGAATGTTACACATTTTATTTGTAAGAAAAGGTGGGGAAGTAGATTCTGTCACTCTATTCAAAATTACCATTTTCATTTTCATGGGTATTTTTCCTTAACCATATATTTCCTTACAATTTTAATACATAGTTAAGAATATCAGAGGGTAAAATAACTATGTAGATGACTGAGGTTAACATCTCTAAACATGAAAAGATGAGAGCACATCTGTATGATTCACTTTCCCAGGGATTTGTCAGAATAGCATTGAAATTTAATCTTTTATGGAGTACTCAAACTTTGCATTTTAATAAGTACTTTTCTTAGTAGGAAAATGCTAGGTAAAATAAAAGTGTTCTGTTTTGACATCCCAGATCTGTTTGAGTGCCTTCAAACCTGTCTTTTCCATGATATGTTTTTTTTTTTTTTACACCAGTGAAGCATATAATGTAATATATTGAGTTTCTAGGAGAAATGTGAACATGTTGTATCATAATTGTTCTATTACATATATGCAGCCCTTAGGCCCCTTAGTGGCTAGTTTGAATTCCTTGATATTGTGCATTAATAAAGGATAGCAAGTATATTCAATAGGTACCCATCCTAAAACTGTTGGGAAGTGTAAGTGCTACATAGCTTTCACATTCACACTAATATTACTTGCGTCATACCTCAGACATTTGCCACTGGCCTGAACGCACAGATCCTGGAGCCCTTGGAGCTACCCTGAGAATTACTGGCCGAGCTAAGTTAGACTTGTACAAGGAACCCAATGTTTGCACTAAAATCTGTTACCTAGTACCTTCTTAGGATGGAATAATTCTGTTTTCCGATCATTGTCCTAATCATTATTGAAAGGGCTTAATTCACTTAATTTTGGAAGCCTTTTTAAACCTACACCCACACTGACCTGGACAAATTGGACCCAAGCATTTCAAGCACGCTTGGGTTAGCCAATGAGCTCCTGAGCACAGAAACCAAGAATTTATGTATATCCCCTGATGAAACCCTAGGCTTGAAAACACTGTGTATTTAGTTCTTACACACCTTTTTTATGATAATTTACATCAGGTGGCAGACTCTTCTCGGTTGATTTGGAGGGGTGCACCTGCTTTGGCTTTAGATTTGCTAGATGTTATTCCTAATCCATTTCTTTTGGGTCTTACCTTCTCTCCCTTCATTTTCCAAGCTTCCTTCTAATACCTGCTCCTCTTGAACACATTTTCTCCATCCCAAGTGATTCAGTTCAATGCCCCTCCCTCTGAGAAGTATCATGAAGCCTCATTTCCCTCTGTCAGATCTTTGAAACATATCAAAAAACCCTGAGGCTTGGCAAAAACACTTTTTAACCAAAATATGACATCTATAAAAGCCATCATGCAGGGATCTGCCATGACTATCTGTCCAGAGTCATTTGGCTCTCAACAAGAACTGAGGCTGACATGTTTTTAGTCATAGCTATTGCAAATACCGGTTTGCCTTAATTTGGGCAAAGGAGAAACAAAAACATTGAACTCAGTAGCAAGCTCACAGCATACAATACATGAAGATATTACCACTGTAACTGGGCTTGGTCTTGTGGGCAACAAAGAACTTGACAATTTGGCATCAGAGCAGATATCTATACGATGCACATTTGTAACCCATCCATTAGCTGTAGTATTTTTGTTCATATGTGAAATGAGCTCATTTACAAAATATCAAGCAACCATCTGCAGATTTTGAAATCAGTGGCGCATAAGTGGCCTTTAATTATAGGAAAGCATAAATTGGACTCTAGAGTTTCATATCATGCTTCATCCAAGTCTGTAGTGAGGGAGGAATTTTTTTTTTTATAATGTGGCTGTATTGTTTTAGATTTAAGATTGGAATCTGATTAATGAGTAGGAGACCTGGGAAAAGAAACCCCTGCTGTGCTCAGGGAATATAATCATGTTGTCATTGCTTAAAAATCACTCAAGTCATAAGTTGCTTTTCTGTTTGGAGATGTTTTACTCTATACTGCCAAAGGCAAACAATGAGAAAGGGAACTGTTTAGCAGGAACAAATAAAACTTCATGGGAAAAGGTTGTAAATTATTATGGTGAAAGGTTTTATATTTGGCACCCATGTCAAGAGTCAGAAATGGACATAATGTTAACAGAGAAAATTCAGAGATCTGAAAGCAGTCCGACAGAGAACTCATGATGTGATGGGCAGACTATAAAACAGAGCTAAAAATACTCAAAACAAAATGAACCACCATTGGGAAATTAAATTTATTTAAACCCTTGTGACCAAAACATCACAGTAAAAAGTTATTGATTTATTAAAGGAGAAAACTCGCTATTCTTTCCTGCTGCAGGGATTGACAGCATAAATTTTAACGGTCAATATTGTTTTTTATTATCTAATCCTTGCTATGCCTTCCCCACCCGAGCTATCGAAATTATTCTTTTCTACCTAACCCAACCCATTACCTGTCCTTCTGGTTGTATAATATGACCGTTGGTTGCTAGTATTTTTCAGATAAAATTAATTTTTGGAAAGTTTAATTCACTGTGATTTTAAATTAACCTTACTGTGTTAAGGATTCAGGAAGTAGGACTCTGGAATTATTACACAAATAATTTAAAAATTCACTCTAGGGTTTTAATTTTAGCTTGCAAGATTATTTTTGTTTTTGTTTTTAATCATTAGTATATCCTTCCTAAAAACAGCACATATCTTGGAGCTATATTTTCAAGGAATCCCTCAAATTAAGCTCAAAACCTATAAAAGTGAAAATTGTAAATATGGCATCCCTGCAATGTTGACAAACTTGACACCTACTCCGAAGCTCTGGTATGAACTTTAGGTGTTGAATCGAAAAATATGTTTTTGCAAGTTTCGCAAGAGTCAGAACCCTGGATCAACTCTGTCATGATGATGTTTCCTAACACTGTTCTCATGGGACCATATACAAAGATGACAGAAAATTGATCACAGGATAAACCACGGTAGTATTAATGGGGTTATATAAATTCAGTGAATGAAAGCTTCCATACAAATTGGGCATGTAAAGACTTAGAATGTATTTGGTCAAAAATACCCAGACCATTTTAGTTTTTCCATTTTGTACCATTAGTCCTTTGTTTTCCAAATCTCCAACGCCCACACACAAACCATGAAGTGCACATCTTAAAAAGTAGAGCTGCTGGTGGGTAAATGAACTGGTTTAGACACAGACCTCTGGCTCCCTGTGATGGCGTTTACCTTTTGCCTCATTTACTCCATGTTTGTGCGTCTGGCCCGGCTGTAGGTAAGAAATCTAAGGCTTGCTTCAGTTTGCTCTCACCCTTGGCTTCTCTGTTGTTACTGCTGCGCATTGGCTTCATGTGCTCCGTTGTTGTACTGCAATGTAAAAAGTCTTTTGTCTCTTCTGTCTTTGTCGCTGCCAGCTGATAATCTGAATGAGGTGGAAAAAGGTTAGTTGCCTTTTAAGTCTATTATGATTTTCATTTTAGTTTCCCTCTTTCTTTTAAAGCTACATAGATTTCATTGCGTGTACATGGTAAAAGGAATGTTGGCAAAATCTGAAATCAATATGTCAAGTCAGGCATTTGGATCCTTGACATATGGATAGCTATGCCAAACACTATAAAAAGGGCATCTGAAGTGCACTTTATCAATTTCTAGAAATCTATGAAAGAAATTCTCTGAGTGGGAAGAAGGGGTGGCTAAAAAGAAGGACTAATACTTTATACTTCCTACTTGTTTGTATGCTTTAAAGATATCACAAACAGGAATTATTTTTACAATGAAAAACATAGGTCACTCAGTATAGTTTTAGATAGAAAAATTTTTAAATAGTGGGAATTTTCCTATAACTCTAAACTAACATCTTTAGTAATTTGAAACATGGAAAATATTGGAAGATGTATATATTTATTAAAACATTTTATAAAATAAGTAATGACGAAGCCAAAGAGGTTGATTTTTAGAATCACATTGTCAAAACATCATTGGATAGCATGAGTATTAGGCAGTATTTTCCAATCATAAAAAGAACCATATCTAATCATTGACATCAACATGGTCCATAGAGCTCCCCAAAAACATCAGGGCCCAGGAAAGGAGGTCCTAGAGTAATTACAGTGATAGGCATTTCTGGGGAATTATCATGAAACCTTTGTGAAATTCCATCTTAAAGATTCAGAATTATTACTAATAACATTGGATTTTTGCTTATTCAGCTGACCAGACATCTCCATATGTCACGTGCAGGCACGGCATCCTAAGTGAAGCACAACATGTGCTTGTCTTAACATTTCCGGTTGTATGCGAAGCATTTGCAGTAGGATGATAGGGCTAACATGGAATGCATTGTATAGCAGCTCTCTTTGTCTCTGCATACTACCAATTTCATTATTTTTTCTGTTGCATTATTCAGGTGATATGCTGTGTTTTGTCACTTACTATGTACAGAGTTAAGTTGAAAAACATGAAAAAAAAATGGCTGTGTATTTTAGAATCTTAAAATATAGCCTGTACAGTTCTCAGAGGATTAATG